TAGTAGTAGTAGTAGTAGTAGTAGTAGTAGTAGTAGTAGTAGTAGTAGTAGTAGTAGTAGTAGTAGTAGTAGTAGTAGTAGTAGTAGTAGTAGTAGTAGTAGTAGTAGTAGTAGTAGTAGTAGTAGTAGTAGTAGTAGTAGTAGTAGTAGTAGTAGTAGTAGTAGTAGTAGTAGTAGTAGTAATAATAATAATAATAAAGAAAGAGAAGAAGAAGAAGATGATGAGAACTTTGAGATGGAATATTAATGTAACGATTAAACAATGATAATAACAAATGTCAAGGTTAGAGGTTCCACTAATGGTATATCAAACAAGTATAGTATAAACTCTTATTATTGAATTGGAAACCACACACAAAGGAGGTTCCAATCAGATTATATATTGTTAACATGATTACATTAGTCATCTTATTCAATTAATGCTAATACTTGTAAATCTCGTCAAGCATTCATGATTATAACTTATGTTAACAACAAATCAAGTTCCTTTCATAGCTCAGGTGTCGGTTATACCATACATTATGGGCTATGAAAGTGCCAAGCATTTGTTGTACCAAGTGTTATACAACATAAATCAAGATTAGTCATTTAACAAGCAAAGTATTAAAGAGTGAACAAGATAGCAAATATAAAACATGTTAGTATCAAACATTAAAGTCCATATTAAGTTTACATTATACTTATTCTTACACCATTAGTGTAACCTTTTCACCTTGACATAATTAACTTAGCTAGACATAATGAAAGAAAGCAAAATAGATAAACAAAATAAGAACATAAAAGTTAACTAAGTAAAGGAAAGGAAATGAAAGGCATAAACTTAATATTAATGAAAACAAAGCATAAAAAATACAAAGAGAGAAAGGAAGAGCATGATCTTGATCTGAACACCAAGATGCCTAAATGCATGGCAAATGCCTCCTTTTATAGGCCAAAAATGGGAACTATTGATTTGATGACTAATTGATAAGTGGGTGACCAACTTTTGACTTGGTGACAATCCTTATCTTCTCTTGTCTGCCCAAAACGTCATTGATAACGTCAAAACTGGAGCCAGTTGCAAACATGAAAGTTGTAGGCAATTGTCTCAGCTTTCTTGTGTAAAAACTTCAGCTCATTTGGACTTCTAGAACTCCAGATATGGCCAAAATACCGAACAGTGCTCGGGCTGGAAGACAGATTCGGGCTTCTTTGTTGTTGCTACAATTTGGACTTGATAATGGCCTTTTTAGATCTTGGGCTCCATATGAAAGTTGTAGGCCTATGTCTTACCTTTCCATCCATATAAATTTGACCTAAATCTGAGATATATAGCTCCAGATATGACCCATTTACCGAACAGTGTTCCGGTTTGGATTGCACCGACATCTCTTTTCTAAGTTTGGCCATCTCTTTATCCTTGCAATTTAAGTTCTTCAAGTCATCAATCAATCCTTTCATTTATGTGATAGGCCTGCATTAAAAATAGACATTTACCATAAATTAAAGGTATCTTATATTATTAAATATATTATTATAAAACATGCTTTGGTTAAGGAGTTATTGATACTTCAAGTGCAAAATGATGATATAAAACCTTGATAAAAATGCACTTTTAAGTACTAATAAAAAAACCCAAAGTGGACCCAAGCAATCAAAGAAGAAATGGAAGCCTTAATGAAAAATAAAACATGGAACCTAGTATCATTACCGAGAGGAAAGAAGACGGTGGGGTGCAAGTGGGTGTTTTCTGTCAAATATAAAGCAAATGGATCCGTGGAAAGATATAAAGCAAGACTTGTGGCAAAAGGGTATACACAGGTATATGGTGTAGACTACCGAGAAACTTTCTCTCTAGTTGCTAAACTAAACATTATCAGAGTATTGTTGTCAATTGCAGCAAATCTAGATTGGCCATTACATTAGTTTGATGTGAAGAACACCTTTCTTCATGGTGATCTTGAAGAGGAGGTGTATATGGACATTCCTCCAGGCTACTCAGTAACCATAGGAGAGAATAAAGTGTGTAAATTACAGCGAGCCTTGTATGGACTAAAGCAATTACCACGAGCATGGTTTGGAAGATTTAGCTTGGCAATGAAGAAATATGGCTTCACACAAAGCAACTCAGATCATACCTTATTTCTTAAGAGACAGCAGGGCAAGGTAATAACTTTAATTATCTATGTCGATGATATGATTATTACAGGAGATGATAAAGAAGAAATATCGTGACTCCAAGGACAATTGGCCAGCGAATTTGAAATGAAAAATCTAGGTGGGTTGAAGTACTTTTTGGGAATAGAAGTTGCAAGATCAAATCAAGACATTTTCCTATCCCAGAGAAAATATATCCTAGATCTATTATCAGAAGTTGGATTGTTGGAGTGCAAACCAATAGATACCCCGACTGTCCAAAATCACAAGCTTGGGATTTATCCGAATCAGAAATTAGCTAATAAGGAGAAATATCAGCGATTAGTTGGCAAACTAATCTATTTATCACATACTCGTCTAGATATTGCATATGCGGTAGGCATGGTGGGTCAATTTATGCATTGTCCAAGTGAGGAACACATGGAGGTTGTAACTCGAATACTCAAATACTTGAAGTTATCTCCAGGGAAAGGGCTTATATTTTCCAAGAATGGTAATTTGAAAGTCAAAGGCTATACATATGTAGATTGGGCTGGGAACTGCCTAGACAGGAAGTCAACCTCATGGTATTTCACATTTGTTGGTGGAAAACTTGTGACATTGAGGAGTAAGAAACAAAATATGGTAGCACTCTCTAGTGCTGATGGCTAAAGGTTTATGTGAACTTCTTTGGCTAAACAAATTGCTAACTGAGATTGGTTTTGCTCCTAAATCATAAATGAGTCTCTTCTGTGATAATAAAGTTGCAATAAATATTTCTCAAAATTCAGTCCAACATGATAGAACTAAACATGTGGAGGTTGATCGGCACTTCATCAAACATAACCTTGAAGCGAAGACAATTCAATTTTCATTTGTCAAATTTAAAGATCAACTAGCAGATATACTTATTAAAGCCGTGTCTAGCAGAGAATTCCATAGCTCACTAGTCAAGTTGTGCATGAGAGATCCATATGCATCAACTTAAGGCGGAGTGTTGGCGTGAGCTGTAACACATGGGTAATAGCAAATATTGTAGGAATAGAGATGGAAAGAATAGGAGATATTATAAGAACAAAGATGGAAAGAATTTCTTTCCATCTCACGATAGCATAATTATAGGAACTGAATATGTATAGCTTAAAATAAAAGATTTACTCTTGTAGTATAAATATGTAACAAGCCACTGTGTAAGATTAATGAAAAAAAAAGAGTAATTATTGTGACATTGTTCTCGCTTTGGAAGAGGACACCCTCCTTGTTCCTACTATGGAGAAGCAATCCATTAGGTCCAACCTTGTTATGAGCTGTATGGATATCCAGCCGGCCACCCAGAGGCAAGGTATGGTTCAGGGCCAAGACGTTTCAGCAACAATAACAAGCCTGCAGATAATCATGTGTCCAAAGACTTCTTTAAAGAAGACGGACAACTAGTTGTTCGGATTCAAAACCTCAATTAAAGTAGCTCTCATCATTTTTTGGCAACAAAAATAAACTCTTAAGCAAATGCCGTAACCAAGCTAGGTTTGTCTGAAGTCGCATTTTGCCATTCGATCATTGACAGCGGGGAGACATTATATTTCTTCATCATCTAAATTATTTTTTGCAATGAGTATCTCTCCATGACTTGCAATCATACCTACATTCAAACCATTAAAATTAACCAATGGTGAGACTAAAAATTCAATATTCAATGCCAAGATTATAGTGGTGAAATTAAAATAAATAAATAAATAAATAAATATCCAATGCTAAGATTGTCGCTACCACTATTTAGATGTTCCTAAAAATTATAAGAATTATATGCCAAACCATATAATAATAATAAAAAAATTCAAACTCAATTTCAAAGAAAAATTATCCAAATTAGAAAAGCATGGCTTTAAGCTATATTCACCTAACATACATTGGATTTAAAAATCATCATCATCATCATCATCATCTAAAAATATATATAAAAGTAATTAAGAACTATTTGTAGAAAATCTAATTCAACAAAAAATACCGTTAAAATTTACTAAAAATCTAGACTTTGCTAGTTATAGTTCAGGCATGGGTTGACTCCTAACATGATTAACTTTATTTTGACTTGGATTATAGTGAGTATTGATTTTTTAATTATTATTTTTTAAATGTTAACATCGACTGAATTACCATAAGAAAAATTAATCGTGTTAAAATTAGATTTCTAAAAATGTACATGGACAAATGTAGTCATGTAATTTTATGGGAGAAAGTGCTTTAATTTTGTGAAATAACACAGAAATTTCTTGGTTTGTTTCACCAAATTTGCAGACTGGAAAAGGATAAACTTATTGTAAGTGCTTCAAACATGGGAAGCGATATTGAACAGGGAAGAGCATTAAATATGGAAGAGGATAGGCCAAGTGCTTCAGAAATTAAGATGACTGGGGCACTTTTTGCGCAGCTGGATACTAAGGTGAAACGGTTGTCCTCTAAACAGGGCTATTCTGAGTGCTGTATCTACAGGGTGTCCAAACGGGTTCAAAGCGTACATTGGCAAGCCTACTATCCACTGCTGATTTCAATAGGTCCTCTTCACCGCGACGATAAAAAACGACAGGTCATGGAAAAAGAAAAATTGAGATATTACAGAACGTTTATTGAACGTAAATTAAATAACTTAAGGAAGATAAGAGATATTATGAGGAGCATTCAGAA